GGTTATTTGGAGTTTAAGGTGTTCCAGCCACATCACAACAGCCAGTCCCTGTTGTGCTGACAGCACTGTTCACAAGCGGTGTTGTGAACTGAAGAGCCAATCAAGCTTTGCAAGAGCAAATATCAGAAGCTACAACATTTTCCTGACCCACTTTTAAAACAGCATTGTCCAAAAGCTGTGCAGATGCCACTGGGAGTGAAAGGGCACGGGAAACATGCAAAAGTGTACAGGCATGAACGAGAATTCAGGACCGGGAACTACAACTGAGCTGCAAGTTCTGCTGCACTCGGGGCACCACCAGGTCATGAAGTGCAGTTTGTACCACTCGGAAAAAGCAGAATATATATTCACACTGCCTGAACCAGGCTAAAATGGTTTTAGGCCATATAGAGTTAGGGCTCAAAGCACTGTCTACCATCATATTCAAAGTAATAATCTACCCATGCAGAGGTACTTATACAAATGAAGAAGTGCCGTGTACCTTTACAAGAAGAGATCTAAATTGTACCAGCACAAGAATGCCAATATAATGACTTCAAACTAGTGCTTTGCCTACATAAACAAATTGCACTTCAAAACAAAATGGTTATCTCAGCAGGATGAAAAGGCACAAAGTCCAGGACTAAGGTTTGTTTGCAAGTAATTCCTCTCCATTAATACTGTAAAGTTCGAGCAGTTCTGCAAAATCCCTTCGCATTTTAAACTGATGCTCACTGTATGGATGAGACAATCCTAAATACATGTGTGATCTTTGAAGCTATGCATTTGACTAGCATAGCTCATGCAAAATTATCTGGGTTTGCATGCCATGTGATTTTCAAAGTCACGATGTAGATAAAGCAAAAGCAGGCATTGCTGGAACACATATCAGTTTGCTTCTCGCTGGGGACTGTTCTGTGCCAAGAATCTAACACCTACATTAGCAAATACAGTAGCGCAACACAAGTGGCTCTGTAAAGGAAAGTGAGTGGTGCTGAGAATCCAAAGTCCTAATTACAAACACTTCATAGGTTTTACTTAAGAAAATCTCTGCTTTGATCCTGCGGACCATGAGTGTTAGGTAGGCTCCTGGAGTGCTTCTTCTCAGAGGTTTCAGGAAACAGCTTAATTTTCACCTGAAGTGGAATTAATTTTATGTGCCATAAGACTGCTCCCTGATATCAACCAAAACACGGGAAGTGAAGACAACTGGATGATGGTGCTTCAAAAGCACGATCCTGTGTCTAACTAAAACCCTGCAGACTAGACACCATCCACAGAATAAGAACGCAAGAATAAGTTTCTAAAGAAAATAGATTCAGTCTTTTTCCCATCCTCTGACCCCTTCACAATCTTATACAAACCACCTGTTCAGTTTTATATATGAGATGTAGGTTCAAACTTTAAACAGAAAGGAAAAAATCACCTTAAGGTTGGTAAGTCCAGAAAATTTTAGCATGGAAGGAAAGTAATTTTGAGAAGGCAGCTGAGCTGGGAGTGTCTAATTAAATAGTAACCTGTAAATGCCGGCTTTTGCAACAGTGTTCCCATTTAGAGATCTTAAAATTCTCCTAAAAACTTCTAATTCCTTTTTTACCTACAAGAAAAGTAGGCAAGTCCTAGAAAGACAAAGAAGTACAAGAAGGTCAGTAGCAGAGGAAGGAGTGAATTCAAACCTTGCAGTTTCCAGGGATAGCTCTGCGCTGTGCATCAGGGACAGCTGTGTGCAAAGAAAATGACCCAATAGGAAACATTCCAGGTTTTCTGCACGTAAATGATTGCTGCTTCAAAAGCAACGGATGACGGATGCTGAAAACAGCACTAGAATCCTCATCTTACATGTATCAGTTGTCAGACATGCACTGACCCAAACAACTAGTGAGGAAAGAGGAGATTTGCAACAACTGTCATCCACTGCAAGCAGCCAAAGTGTGACTTCTTCCAAGAGGAAGGAAATCAGTAGGAAAAAAACCCAGTACTTCTTTGATGCAATCTTGTTGCACACAAACAAATGCACATGAAATTTGGCTTCCCTAAGTACTGTAAGCCTCAAAGAGCAAGAAACAGTTTCCTTGCTCAGTATTAATACCCAAGACAGCACTAGCTCTTTCTTAGATCTCTCACAGCCAAGCTGTATGAGTCTTTTTGAGTAAAAATGAGTTTTAATGCCCTTCTCTCTCTGCTCCAGTGGTATTGTCTTGCTGACAGTCACTCGCACTTTCAAAACCTATGTTGCCCTGTCCTTCCTTGTCCCCATCCCTGCTACTTTTGCTTTCAGCATCTGAGTTATTCCCCTCACTCTTTCCAACAGCAAGTCACGAGGAGCTCTTAAGAGACACTCTGCCCTCAGTCACAGTTTGGGTGGCTGGAGCAGCATCTCTCCTACAAGATAAAATGTTGCACTTGCAGAGAAAATTCAGTGATGACCTGGAGGACACACAGAAAGCTCAGCAAGGGCTCTCAGAAATTTTAAAATCCTAGAGTCTTTAAGATTGGAAAAGACCTCCAAGATCATCAAGTCCAACCTCTGATCAAATATACCACCATGCCCACTAAACCATATCATTAAGTGCCACATCTACTTGCTTTTTGAACGCTTTCAGAATGGTGATTCCATCTCTTTCCTGGGCAGCCTGTTCCATGACTGTGCTGAACATTCTCTGTTCACTAGAAGTCATTACAATCTTTGTGTGACAAGATATGGTTTTCAATTATCTGGGTTGTTTTACTTTTTTGGTAGAATTAGGTTTTCATAAAAATTGGTTTTGATATGTCTGTAGCAAGTTCCATTTTTTTTTTTCCTGCTAAAAAAAATGAAATTGTAAAAATGCTTCCTGGAATTTGTCTGACATGTTTATGGCAAGGTCTGAGGATAAAGTCTAACTTTGTTTATCACACATGTTTTCTAGCCAGATTTTAGGCCTTCTATATATTCTGTAGAAATTTTGCTTAATAGAAATCTGAGAAGGAAAAGTGCTGTGCTATTTTTTAATTTGGAATCCTCTGAGAAGGTACTTAAAATATTTTAGTTGGTTTACTGGTGAGTATCATCACAGAGAAATTAAAGTCCTGGGGTTTATCTCAACTATATGTTAACATTTCTTGCTGCTTTTTCCATTAAGTTAAGTTTGCTTTGCTTTGTGTTTCCTCAGACTATTTCACTGAAATGGCAGTACATCATCTTTGGTTCACAATTGTGTAGCTGGACTTCGGAGCTGACTTAGAATAAACTTTTGTAATCTTCAAGGAGGATTCCCTTGTCCTCCCTAGTATTATTTAGTATCTGCCTTTAAATAAGGCTGTAACTACAATGAACTGTGACTGCATGTGAGACAAGTTGGTAAACTGGAGTAGGAAAACAGTAATGACTCTGAAGACAAGGACCTTCAGTTTGGTTTCTCAGATCAGACTGATTTCAGGAAACAAAAATTTTAAGCAGAAGTTACTGTCTAAAAATGGTACTTTTTGTAGTGTGGAACATATTTATGGGACAATCTTTGATGTACATAACTGGGCAGCTTGTAAAGGCAGTTATACTAAAAATTAGCAATACTGCAAGAAAAAATACCCAAGAGTTCTAGTTTCTTGACATACAAAATAGCCTTTTAAGGCCTCAACATAAATATTTGTAAGATATCAAAATATGCTTAACTTAAATGGAAAAATTCTTATTCGGTACAATATTATTTAAAAAAAACCCAAACCGAAACAACCCACCCCACAAACCTGCTAACATGATATCCTTTGGGTAGGAAAAGCAATATAGGGTGTACAGCTGGTGTGTTTTACGCATTTATGCATCTTATGGTGGGGCTGAAGTGAGAGGAGACTTCTTGGAGACAGGAGAATTTTGGGTGGGCACCAGTTCTACAGCTGATAGTTTGCAGGATGGTGCAGTCTGTGATTGGAAATTCTGTGGATAGTGAAAGCCAGGGTAGGTCTGACTGTTCTATGAATCACTTGATTCTTACAGTTCATATTGGGAATATGAACATTCCCAATGATAGCTGGGTCTGGGATTGATTGGGATTTTTTCCCTCTCCCCCAGTAAGGACATTTCTTGAACATGAGTTCTAAAAACAGTATAAAGGCTAAACCGACCACTGTGAATATGCATATACCAATTTATTTTCACTAATTAGATTTTGAATAACACTTCTCAGTTAAACCAGTAAAAGCCTAAGTTTAGACCAGACCTTGGTTAATGAAGGGGTTTTTGGTGCCTAAATAAAAGGCTCGAAGAAAGGAACTTGCACACAAAAAAACTGATGCATTTTTTCATCCTTCCTGCCCCCAAAAAATAAAAAAGGAATGTGTCTCTATTTTATCACAGGTGCCCTCTCTGAAATTTCTACTGGTTAGGTGTAAATGTTCAAGAGTGTAACATGTGATCAAGACTGGATGGACTTTTGTGGAGGACAAAAAGTAAATGAGGAAATGAGGAAGCACACTATGAGCCATTGAAGCCAGTGGGAATGCAGGCAAGGAAATTTGAAATTACTCTAACAGGGATTTGATAAGAACTGGGGAATTAACACTAAACAAGTAGGATCTCTAATGGTCACAAATAACTCCACCCTTAGTTTTAGTTGCCTCCCTATGACAATACACCCAGCAGCACAGGGCACCTGGGCCATCATGATCACTCTATGAACTGCTTTGTGGTATGGACAAGTCTGTATGAAGAGGAGCTCTGTCCTCATGTTCTCATACCTTGCTGTACATGCCTGCTTTGACCCCACAGTGACCCGAATCAACAGGAAAAACACAGTTTTGCTGGACTACTTTTTAGTCAGTTTAGCTGAAAACTAATTGAAGCAGGAGTGACTCAGCTGGCAGCAGCCAGTTGCACCTTGACCCAGCGGTAATGTAAAATCACAGCACTGAGTGAGAAATCCAGGTTTGCTGGCCATGCCTAAGTGAGACATTCTTCCTGAGCATCTGGGTGAGGCAGGCAGACCACACTTCATTACAGAGCTGACAAGAGAAAGCAGTAATTACAAGAACACAAGATCTATTACCTGACCCTTGTTGCAAGATGAATCTAAGGCGTCATGTGGAGCGAGGCAGTCCATTAATTTTCCATTCCGCCGGCAGCCCAGGTGCACCAGGTCTTGGCAGTGAGCATGGCAGGTGTACTTGCAATCTTAAAAAAACGCACACAGACACACATACAAAAAAAAAAAAACAAAACCAGAAGTGGTGTTTAGAAATGAGGTTGCTGCAGGCAGAACCTAGGAGTGAGACACATCCTCATTTGCTACGTGACCTCAGAGAAACTACCACCTCTCGACTGAATCTCCCCATCCGCACATAAAGATAATAATAGCTACATACTAGCGAGATGTAAATTCACTGGAGCGAAGATGACAGCACAGCACACCTCCCAGTGTCACACTGGCAGGGCTGCAGTTAAGCAGTTCTTTAGTTAGATCAGGGCTGCCTCAGTTAGATGTTTTTGCAAAAGGTCCGTGCCACAAACTAGGTATTAGCTGTTGTAATATAAGTACAAAAGGGGCCATTCTCAGAAAAGACACAATATTTTTGATTTACAGATAAAAAATTCTGCCCACATAGAATTACTGTTGGTTTTATGTGTTTTAAGCTCTAGGTTCTCTTAAGAATATACACAGGAATATTGAAAACAGAATGAGTGGTTTATCTGAAGCCTAATTAAGCTGGTAAATCACAAAGTTGCCTTCAGTAACAATTCAGAAATTTCACTTCCTGGCTAGCGAAGTCAACTGAGATGGCTATTAGAAATGTAAATTCCCTATAACAGCAGCAGATGACCCCATCTCTAGTAAGAAATCAGGTGATTCATATGCCCTTTAATCTCAAAGAGAGAATCACTTCAAGAGTATTTACAAAAACAACCTGTATTTGCTTGGAAGCCTTGTTATATTTGCTAGTTTTCTATGTAAGTTGGGCAGAGTTCATGATGTCACTTTTGTCTAGCACTGAATGTCACTTTCTATTTTTAGGTTTTAAATTGCTTATAATTTTGCCAAAGAGCAACCACTTGTATTTCAAGTTACCATGCTGGGGAACATCATGCTGTTTGTTTTAGAACATTTCAGCTAAAACAATTCAGCCATTTCCAAGAATGACTTTTGGAGGAAATGCTTTCATTTTGTCTAACTAAACTACACTTAAATTTATTTTTCTTCTGTTACAAAGCTTTACACTTTCCAGATTTATAGTAAAAGAGCAATTCTGGGTGGGCTTTTTGTTCCCTTATCAACCTCTCAAAAAGACCAGTTTTCCTAATGTTTGATTAGATTCCCATTACAGTGCCTGAAAAATAAATTCTTGAACATTCCCATTTCCAATTCGTATTCATCAGTGGTGTTATGGGGCAAGACAGGACAGTGCTCTCTGAAATGCTGTTCCTCTTGGCTGGGAACTGGATCTTTAATGTAAGATCCCTGTACCGGCAGATCATCCAAAAGTAAAAATTAAAATGTGGGTAATGCAATCACATTCCTTTGCCTGATACAGTATTTGTGCTGCACGCGAACTAAGGCAAGTTTAAATATACTTTATTTGGCACACAGTCAACCAGTCAAAACTTTTTCAACACCAGCAACCCAGCAGAGTGAATCCATCCTGGATCAGCACTCTAAGAGAGATAACTGGGATGTCTCTGATCTTAAAACAGACTGACTATATCACAATAATACCACTGTATGTCAGGTCATACTCCTCTTGAGGCATCAGCAAATAGCTTTCAGCTAATTATGGGGTACAGAGGACCCTGTTGCAGTATAAATCAAAGCACTGAAAAAAGGCTCAAACTCTCTAAAACCATCACTCTATTTAATACAGAATTTGGAAAACATGAAGCAAAACAGACAGAAGACTACAGGGGAAGGAAAAGAATGATTAAGGCAGCTGTATGGTGCCCAGGAGAAATGATAGCTGTCCCTGCACCCTTGTGTAATGCTGGCAAGTCATGCCAGGCTTGCTGCAGTTGCTTCTGAATTTCCTCTGGGTTTCACATTTGAGTTACTTTATCCATTTTGCAGGAAAGATGGAGCATTCACAACTGCAACTGAAGTCAAGAAGAACTGTGCTTTTCACCCAAATGAGGTTCTTCCAGGGCTCTGTTTTATGCTTATGCAGCTGGGATTATTTTTCAGATGATTCATGCATCTCATGGAGTTCTGGAAAAGACAGAACACTCACGTTTGCGGAGCCCTTGACAAGAGAATGATTTTGCTTGAGAAAGGACTCCCTAAGACACAGTTGAAAAGCTTCATCCTTACCTGACAGGAATAAATAAAATTTGGAGCCATTGTTCATTGGGTGAGGGAACAGGGCAGCTCCTTGAGAAAACCAGGATGGGAGCACTTAATTAAAAATATAAGTAATATACCAATATAAGTAATGCACAAGTAAAAAAAGGTCAAATGAAAGTAATCTTTGAATTTCTTTTTTTTCCCTTTATTTCTGAGTTCTTTACTTCGCAAGTTGAGTTATCTTCTTTTGTAGAAAAAATGCTTATGAGATCACATTGCATGTCTACCTTTCTGTTCTCCCCCTGTAACTCTGCAAGAGCTAACTACTTCAACTACACATGGCCTAAAAGCTAATTAAGTTCATACAAGTTTTACAAAAATTATCTCCTGGCTAAAGGAGGGAGACCCAAACTAATACTCACACTCAAGGCAAGGCTGGCAAAATTCACCTATTACACCATTGTCTGGCAATGTCTGGACAACTAGCTACTGCATATCATATCACCTCCATGGTGAGGAGCTTATGGGGAATGGGGCACAAATCTGTAGGACACCAGGCTTTGCTAATTCCCCAACTTTCTACAATTACACAAACATATATACTGAGCATGCCCAATTCTAAAGATGCATTTTCACAAATAATACTAGGAAAAAGTCTGTTAGCTAAACAGTGTTCTGAAACAGAATTACTTATTAAGTTAGGAAACATTAACTCTCAACGCTGTTTTGTTTGTCATTTATATTCATTTTAATTTGTGAGTCCCTAATATTATTTGTAAGACAAGCTCATAATTTTCACCTTGCTATTGTAGGCATAATTGCAAAAAATGTAAAAGCTTCATCTATAAAACATTCAGTCATAAGCTAGATTTTAACATACTGATTATAAGTTCAGAAAGATCAGAAAAAGGATGATTTTTTCCTAGAACAGTTATACTTTAAATTTTTTTTCATATTTGTTTTAGCTTTAAATAGATTATTTTATTCCAATCGTGGCATACAATGTTTCACAAAGGTCCAAGCAGCAGCAAATTAAAAAAAATATGTCTTTCTGGTAATCCCTTACTGGAGCACTCCCAAAATTTCCATGAGTTCAAAAAGTAGCTATTATTCTGGAAAGACTATTTTGGTCATCAGAGTGTGGATTGCCATATTATTTCTGCTTGGAAAGCAATCAGAACCAGGTGCTCTTTCCTGATGTGATCTGAAATGAATTCTGTTCTTTGAAATCAAAGATCTGGAGGCTTTAACTGGGCACAGGTGATAAAAGCATTCCCTGACATCTAGAAAAGCTAACAGGTTTATTTTACTAATGCTCAGACTGTCCTGTACACTGCATTTATTTATGAAAGTGATGCATCAATGAACACTGCATATGCATAACTGTCCTGAATTGTTAGGAAATGCAAGTGTCGATTTATTAAACATACAAATCTTATGCTTTAAAAGTTGCATTGTCAACTACTGAGACATAATAACGAACCTTATTATTCTATTGCAACAGTGGCTTGGCTAGATGTCTCAGTTTAAGGAGACTGAAGTGTTTTGCTAAGGAGGATGAGTTATGAGGTAGACCAAACTCTTCTCTCTCAGCAATTGTAAATTCGAAATTAAGAGGCTCCAATCGAGGAAGTGTGGAAAAAGGAAGAAATAACAACCCTTTATTAAAGGATATATGTATATTGGCAAAAACAGTAACAGAACACAAAAACAACTAAACAATAATCCTGTACCCAAAAGTCCCCTTCAAAAAGGGAACAGTCTGATACTTCTCTGTCCTCTAGAGCAATTCTAATCGCGGTTGGCAGGAGCACTGTTTGGTCACCAGAGGTGCAGAGCCTGCAGTGCTCAGTGGTGGCCTGCAGGGGACACTGTTGGATCCCTGGAGGAGCTGAAATGGAGATCTTCCCCCTACCAAGGAGGGGAAGGGGAGAAGGGGAAAGAAGGGCGCTTTGTTTCCCACAAAACTCATGTTGTCTGCAGCTGGCTGTGGTCAGGACTCCCCCCTTTCCTCGACGAGCACAAATCTCCGATGAATCTGACAAAATCTCCAGCAGATTCGGGTTGCAGACAGGGCAGCGCGCAGGCAAGGCAAGGCCGGAGAGCAGCCAGATGACCAGGTTGAGAGCAAGACAGCCTCAAAACTTTTCCAACACACAAACACCCTCCCCCTTGCCTCCGTTGAGGCAGAAAAGTCAAGTGTCCCCTGTTTGTAAAGAGAGGAGGAGAAAAAAACTCCTCCTTGCAGTTTTTAGAAGGGCTATTAGCCAGGAATACAGGTCTGCCAGCTAGTTCTTTTTTATAATTAATTACCCCTTCCCCCTCCTAGTTCAACCTTCTTCTCTTACAGTGGGACAGTGGAAAGGAAAATTTTTGCCTGGATTTTTAGAACAAGTAAACCTATGACACTAGAGTAATAGAAAATAATAACTTAGCAAATTTTAAAATTGCATGAAATTATGACTACTCCTATCCTGCCTTCACAATGTTAAATTGTAAGACTTCAACACTTTCATTTTACATGAATAGACCCTACCTGATGTCTGGATTTTCTTCACCTTAATCTTGATTTTGCCTGATAACTTGTAAATAATTGTTCCCATAACCAATTTGCTACAGGGCCTGGCAGCAGAAAGTAAGCAAGGGAACATGCAGGCAACCCAACAGATGCTTCAACATCAGACCTAGTAATCGAGCACTACTAAATCAGGCAGAGGCAGGCAGAGGCTCAATAGCAAAGTCTCTCTATCCTGCTGTGGTCTTCCCTGCCTGGGAAATGTGTATGTTCATTACTGTGATGGGCCAGAAAAATTTAACTTCCAAATGGATATGCAAAATGTATGTTGTACCTGAGCAACTGAAGCACATGGAAAGTTCATACCCAAATTTGTATTATCTTTGCATT